CAAATCTACCTGCAAAGGAAAAAAGATTGGCCACAACTTTGGGCCAGAGTAAAGTTAGGGGACTGCAAAGAATGTGCCACAGGCACTGAAGGCAACCCTGAATAGGAATTTTAAAAATTGATTTGAAAAATATTTTTGAGTAAGGGTATCGTTGTTGGAATATTTAGAGCCTTGTGACCTATCTAGTTTGATAGGGACAACATACATTTGTGTTTCAGGTTCTAGTATGTTTGTCTAAATATATATTTTGTCTTTACCTTAAACCATATTTTATTAAACGGCTAAAAGATCAGTGTCAGGCAGCCTCTAAAAGCCCCATCATGCTCTCTGCCTGTTAGTATTCATATCCTTGAGTGGGGGACTAGACCTAGTGACTTTCTCCTAATAAATAGAATACAACAAAGGGGATGGGATGTCACTTCTGAGATTAAGTTACAAAAGACTGACTTCCTTCTTCCTTGTGAGTTCTTACACACTCCTTCTCTTTCTCTTTCTCTTGGAGCCCTTGCTCTGGGGAAGTAAGCTGCCATGGTTGTAAGCTTACTTACATCTGTAGATGCCAATTTGGCAAGGAACCAAAGGAGGCTTCTAGTCAACAGCCAATGAGATGCTCAGTCTAATAACCTCTGAGAACCTGAATTCTGCCAACAACCATGTGAGTGAGCTTGGAAGTAGACCTTCCCCAGTCGTGTGTTCAGATGAAAGCACAGCCCTGCCGACACCTTGACTGCAGCCTTGTGAGAGGTCCAGCTCTCACATGACACCAGTATGGTATCATCAAGGAAAGAAACATTTCTTTCTGCTGTTCTCTGCCTGTAAAGAACATTATTCTAATGCATTTATATAAAATTTAAAATAATGAGATTTTTTACATAGTTAAAGATTCTAAAATGTGAATGAAGAAATCTTTTAAAAGCACTAACTAATCAGGGGGGTCAATTCTCCCAGGAAGTTCTGGTAAACTGAGTTATGATGGCCAGTTATAACAATGCCCATTGTTGGCAATGTAGAATGTTAAAATTCATCTTTGGGGCAAAGACCGATTTTGATTCTATACTTCCCTCTTAAAATCTCCACTTCCCTTTGAAAGGGAAAGGGTTTTTTTTTTGCTAACTTCATTTTATAACATTAAAAAAAAAATCTAATTTTCAGAAACAGAGCCTACCGGAACGCCTTCCAGAGGGGATATTAATTATAACAATCCCATAAACAGAATCATATCTTCTTTGAACATGTCTTTATTTGAGTTCATTTCCACAAACTTTGGAGACAACCCTTGCATTTTAAGGAGTAGCTCTAAGCCTGCGTCCCTATTGAGAGATGACCATGTGGGCCCACAACCAGGAGCTTCTTTGTGGGAGATTTTCTCCCCTCATCTGTCCAGCAAGTTCACTCGATGGAAGCTGTCTGGTGTGACAGCAAGGCAGCTGAATGAAGTCATGGTTGTGATTCAGCCTGGCTACAGCCCATGATGGTTTCTCACAGGTTTGCTGAATGACTGTCCACGAAGGGAGGTCTTGCCGTCTGAAGGGAATTATATTTCTTGGGTTGAGTCTTGGAAGATTAGATACAGGCTGAGCTTCTCTCCTACCCTTTATTTCACTAACGGCTCATTAAATAAACTGAGTTTTAATGACAGAGTGATTTCCCTGCAGGTCTTAGAGTTTGTCAGAGACATCCAATTTATAAACTCAAACCAAGGAAGTTTACGTTATGGGTATGTGTCTTGGCAGATTACGGGCCATGAGGCCTTGTGTACAATCTGCAGCTAGAGTTCAGGTTGTGCCAACATTTCCATTACAACCCATAATTCTAAGTGTCAAAATGGGGGAACCAAAAAAACAATATCCCATAGGGGTCTGGCCATTTCTGAGAAGGGTAGCTTGGTGATTTTCCTGATTCAGACTTGGATGTGCATCTTCACTCAAGTAAGAATAAAGATCTGATTTCAAGAGGGCTCGGTCAACTTTGAGTTAGAGATAAACTCCTGATTTCTATCGATGTTAAGTCTGGTGATTTGCATTTCTGGCAGTCAACAACACTGCCAGGCCTTCTGGGCCAGCCACTGTGGGAAACTTCCACAGTTTTCTGTTGAATTTCTTATATGAGAACTTTTGAGGAGAGCTAGAAATCTATTTTACTGGGGGAACCCAAAGACCAATGTGGGATTATTTGGGGCTGCATCAGGGTGAATAAAATGTCTCTGGGACCTGAAGACAGCTCTCAGCTGCCCTGAATTTAGATAAAAATGATGATCATGGCCAGTGGGGTAGTAGATCGGATGTGTGCTCTTAATTCTTAATTCACTTCTTGTCACAGAATTACACATCCATACCCTTTGCCGTGTGGATTTGCACTGCCTCCTGGGAAAGAAAGATTTTCCCTGATCCATTGACTTTGGTCTTAGCCACGTGACTTGCTCTGGGCAATGGGATTTAGGTAGAAGTAAACCAGTGCTTAGAAGGAAATGTATAGCCTTAAATGATCATATTATATAAGAAAAAATGGCTTAAAATAAGTGTTAACTAACTGGAATTTAAATAAAAACTTAGAAAAATTAGTATTACAATGAATTAAAAAATTAAAAATAAGAAGTAACAGGGTGTCAATTCCCAGCTGATATCTTAAGAGGTATTGTGTGTTTCCACTCACTCCTGTGTGTGTGTGTGTGTGTGTGTGTGCGCTTCTGCCATCAGGCATGAGAAGAACATGCCCCAGGTAGCTGTTGGCCCCACAATGAAAAGAAACATGGAGCAAACCTGAAGCCAAGTTGAAGCTTAGAGCTGATCCCAGCTGAACTACAGCTAACCTGCAGATCCCTAAGCTAGAAATAAATGCTTATTGTCATAAGTCATCAAGTTTTGGAGTCATTTATAACACAGAATTATTTTAGCAGAATCCCGATCAATACACCTGGGACCCTCCATCTTTCATGTTCAAATGGTAGGATTTTAATTCGACCTGAAGTGGCCATTAGTCATCCTCTACTTCTGTCCCCTCATGAGAGCACCAAATCCCTGTCAGGGACACACTTCTAAGGTATAGGTGTTAGGTGGCAGAGTCAGCGTCTGACCTCAAATCTCTACATTCCCATGTCATGATAAAATGCACCCTTAATTTTATTTAGAAAGCACTTTCCAATCAAGAAATCATGTGTCATATCCGCATAAACATTGGCTATACAGTGGAGTAAAAGCTAACCAAGATGATTCTATAGACAGATCAAGCCAGGGGGCATCACAATGATTGTGTACTCATTTCAGAAATTCCTCCTAGGACATTTTCTCATCAGCCCAGACATAATATATATATTTTTAAACATGAAGCAGGTGTCTGGTTCCTGAATTCCAGTGCTGGATGGGCGAGACAGGAAGAAAAACATTCTATTAGAGATTGAATGTTGATCTGGCCTATCCCATTGTCACCACTTATACAACCTCAGTTACAAAAATAACCGCTAACTCTCCATTTCTGTCTCAGCACAGACCTGGAGTGTAAGAAAAACTTATCTTACCATTTCTCAGATCTTCTGCAGTAGACAGGGAGAGTTGGATGGAATAAGCGTGATCCTATCTAGAAGTCGAAAGTTGACTCAGATGGTCTTTTGCAATTCTTTATTGGAGCGTCGTTTAGGAAATATTTGATCCTGTCAGCTAATTTGATATTTCTTCACTTTCATAAATACATGGGGGGAAATGGTCTAAGAGTGTTTAAATGCCATCTCTCTACCATAAACAGATCCTATAACTTTTCATGGCTTGACTTCTTCTTACAAAATTTCAAAGATTTAAGGAGGCACGTGTGTGTGTTGCTGTGACTCGGCATTCAGGCAGCCTGAAATGGATCCTTGGTCCTGGACTTGTGGGGATGGACAGAGCCCCCCGACCCCCCGTGAGGACTCCTGGGGTGGTGGTGGGGGTACTCACAGCAATGCTAGAGCATTCCCTGTACCACTGAAGCCAGATCTCAGGGAACTCAGCCTTGCTGTTCATGGCAGGGCTGAGAAGTTTCCTGATGAGAGATACCCGGGAGACCGGACTCCCATAGAGGCCCAGTCTCTTCCCAGCACAGGCCCCCAGGCGGTCTAATTAGGAAGAACGTTCCTTCACTGCCTCAATGACTGCAGTGCGGGGAACCCCTAAGCCCAGGAGAATGGGTCTGTTGGACTTGGGCTTCCCCTTTGAACACAGGCTTGGAGGTCTGGGAAGCACGAGGGCAGGAAGTGCACAAAGAGGGGGGGGAAGGAGATTTAAGGAAAATAGTTCCAAAAGACACTCACTTTTTAATTATAAAGCTGGCTGAAGCTGACCTTCAGGTGGAGTTCAGTCAATGAAGAGTCTTACAAGCTCAGGACATAGTTCCCTGGAAGGAGACGTAACGTAGGGGACTGAGTCCCTTTTTCTTGGCTCCATGTCCCACAGCTTCTGTCCATCTACCTATGAGTGGAGCAATAGATAAGTGCACCATGATAGTGGTCAAGTATAAACTAGAAAAATTGGACTGGCCTTCCCTGCTGCACCCCTCCACCATCCCCCAACCCAGACCTCAACGCCCACATTCCGTGCTGATCTTGTGAGTGGTTGGCACCTACCTCCTACTGTGTGCACTGCCTCATAGGTGTCCTTCAGGGACCCTGGAAAATCTAGACATTCGGGTCTATGGGTGTATCAATCAGAGTTCTAACAGGAAAGAGTCCACACACTCACAAAAAGGATAATTTAAGGAGGATTTATTTACAAAGTTGATACAAGGGAACCCCAAAAGACAGTGCAGTAATCTGTAACTAGTGGCGGCAAACTTGTTACCACTTCCAGGCCAGAAGGGTTGAGGGGAGGGAATGGTTGCTGGAATTTGGAAAGGGTGAGTCTTGGAGCTGCCAGAGGGTTGGCCATCTGGAAAAGGTGGGTGGGGGCTGCGGCCAGCCAGAGGCAACGCTTTGGGGATGAGCGAGGGCCATGAATACTCTGACCTCAATGTCCTTTCTCTCTGATCTTCTGTAGGTGTTCTCTACTGGCCAAACCCAGGTGGGAGCCACAGGGCACCGGAGCCCTGGTGTTGGAGTCCAGACCCACAGGGTAGAGAAGGGTAGAAACGTGGAGCTGAAGTGACGCAGGGCAGATCTGTGCCCAGCGGATTCGTTCATGCCTCCTGGCTGTCTGCAGAGCCTTGGAGACATGTGAGTACATCGAAGGACTCCCAACCTGTTACTCAAGAATAACTCATACTTGGCAGGACAACTTTTCATTCTTCAATTATTGATGCTGCTTTTTTTTTTTTTTAAGATTTTATTTATTTATTTGACAGAGAGAGACACAGTGAGAGAAGGAACACAAGCAGGGGGAGTGGGAGAGGGAGAAGCAGGCTTCCCACTGAGCAAGGAGCCTGATGTGGGGCTCGATCCCAGGACCCTGGGATCATGACCTGAGCCGAAGGCAGACGCTTAATGACTGAGCCACCCAGGATGCTACTTTTTTTTTTTTTAAGATCTCATTTATTTGAGACAGAGAGAGAGCACAAGCAGGGTGAGGGGCAGAGGGAGAATCAGGCTTTCCACCGAGCAGAGACCCCGAGGCAGGGCTCCATCCAAGGACCCTGGGATCATGAGCCAAAGGCAGGCTCTTAACCGACTGAACCAGCCAGGTGCCCCTTGATGCTACTTTAAATCATGTGGCTAATCCTCTAGCTCTTCTGAACGTATTTGTTCACAAATCTCCCCACTTTCTGCCAGATATTTTACTTTGGGGAGTGGGTGAAGATCACGTGGCTTCAGGTGTGACCCATGACCATCCTGGCCGGGACCATAATGAATGTCCTCCAACTGACGGGCATCCCAGGGAACCGTGTCATTCTTGGGGATAAGCTAAGGTTTTCTCTGAAACTCCTGGGGATTTGTGTTTTGTGTTGCTGAACCTTGTTATAACCACACCAAAGTCGTGGCAGACTTAAATTTTAGATTTTGCTTTTGTACAAAGAAGTCTGTATTCCCTCCAGAGAACAGCACAAAAACACGTATAGCTATTTCATCTGCCACTTTCAATGAAGGTTTAGTAAGTGTGGAGGGCAAAGCCCTGAAGTGGCCTTTAAAAAAAAAAAAAATCAGGGAAATAAGAGCTCACACTCTTTTCTGGGACAAAGTTGAGTCAAACAGACACCTAACTCTGTTCCGTTTTCCTCCTGAACTACAATAATATGATAATACCTGTGAATGACCCCTAGAAATATATGGCAGATCATAGGCAAACGCTGTTGGGGTCACTGTCTGTTGTGATAAGTACGTTACCACGAGGGGACTGTCCGTGGTCTCTTTGCTGCAGAGGTTCAGGGTTGCTAGAGGTTGGCATCAGCAGACAGAATCAAATACCATATTGGAAACTGGAGTTGGGGTTGGATTAAACTGGAGGAAGTAAACGTGTGCAAGTGTCAGACTCTGTGCATACAGACGGTCCTGAGGTCCGTAGGTCCCCTCTGTAGGTGTGATGTCCACAGAAGATGGCAGGCATCATCTAGGAAAGGATTGTCAGTATTGTGGGACTTCTGGATTGAGAATTTTGACGACAAGGAGGAAGCATATCCATTGCCATTTGCTCCAGAAGCTCATCTTGAGCACATCTGCCCCTAGCATTGTGCTATCCAGTGATGGGAGAATGCCAAAGAAGCAGACTCCCCACTTGCCCTAAGGAGGCAAAGGAGAAGTTGGTGGTCAGGAAAACATATTTACAGAATGGATCTAGGGCAGGAATGCATGTGGGAGGCGTAGTCATTCCTGCCTCGGAAACGGAAAGTCAGCGTGAGTCAGCTAAGCCAAGAAAAGGTATTGGGATCCGGGGGTATTGATGAGCACCAGGTACATGGATAAGGAGTGGTGGCAAGAGAATGTGTGTGTTGTATAAAAAATAGGAACCAATAGACAGTCCTGAGAGCTGTCCTCTTTCTCATTCTTCGTCACTATTTCCTTCTATTTCTTTCAAAGAGGCTGTGTTAGCCCCACACTCACACAAAAGGAAATTGAGTATAACAGGAAGATTAAGGGCTTGTTTGTTTTTTGTTTTTTGTTTTTTGTTTTTTTTTAAGATTCCGGATGGCCATATTCTTTCCTTCATGCAAGCCAAGGGAACATTTCTCAACACTTACCCCATGCCAACCACAAGTCTTAAATCTGATTTTCCTCTGAATCCAATTTTTAAAGAAGAGCATATCCAAATGTTCCTCAGAGGGTACCACCAAGGTGCCTGCTTGAGGGTGGCCAGTTCGCAGATCTGCTTCTCGTGATACCTCATGAGTGAGCCTTGAAGCAAGTCTGAAAGCAGGCGTTTTTTGTTTTTTGTTTTTTAATTTGAAAAAAAAATGCAGGGCGCCTGGGTGGCTCAGTTGGTTAAGCGACTGCCTTCGGCTCAGGTCATGATCCTGGAGTCCCGGGATCGAGTCCCGCATCGGGCTTCCTGCTCAGCAGGGAGTCTGCTTCTCCCTCTGACCCTCTTCCCTCTCGTGCTTTCTATCTTTCATTCTCTCTCTCTCTCTCTCTCGAATAAATAAATAAAATCTTTAAAAAAAAGAAAAAAAAATGCAAATGATGATACTGTATAATTCGGGAGCTAGAAATGGATGGCTAATGTATCTTTTGTTTTATTAGATAGAATCTTTTAGAGAAAAATGAACATTTAAGGAAAAAAATATCACTGTCTTCTGTATACGACTTTGATGCAGTCAGCTCTTTCCTTCAGCCTGAGTGAGGGTCTAACACTCTGGGATACGAAACGATCTTTGGCAAATAAACAATCCGGGGCAGTATAACTGGACCCAGAAACATCTTTACTGGCAACGAGGGAGGAAATGTCCTCCGTTTTATAGAGGGCTGTGACACACAGCACAGAAGGGGAGACAAAATGGTGGGTATGGAGGCGATTTGTGTCACTACCATCCGCTCTCGGTTGTGAATGGAGATTTTTAGACAAAAGGGGGAAAAATACAGACTGGGTTACTCTGCTGAACACTACCTTGTGTATTACCAAATATTTTCCCTAGACATTTGATGGCTCTTACTGATGTAGGCTTTCTGGAATTACTGGGACAGAGTTTCTAAAGTTAAGACAACAAGTGAGTGCCTTGGGCTGATCCAGAACTGGCATGAGGACAAGGTTAGAAGTAGGTATGCATTTATAAACATCCAATCCGATAGGAAGCAGATAACATGTTTCCTTCATTCAGAAGAGCACATTCCTAGGAGGAACTAGGGCACCACAGCCCATAGGTACCTCGGAGAAACAGCTGTCCCCAGCAAGACTGAGCTGGGCAGAAATGCTCGGGGTGACAGGTCGGTGCCCAGCCAATGTAGCAGCCTGAAGCTAAAGCTATGCCCTGTAATCATTCCAAGCCCTGCCTTGGCAGGTCCCTCGCCCTTGTGCAGGCAATATGCCGGCTGAGAGCTCCACGAGTGAGATTTCAAACATGGAGTTTCTTCCGGAACTTCAGCTTTCAAAAGGTCGTTATTCTAGAAAAACCAGTCCCCCAATCATTGTTTGATAGGACTCAGCCAAAGCAGTCCGGAGAAGCTAGGGAGGGGGAGGATGAATGCATTTGTACTAAAAATCGTGAAATCATGTCATGATCATATTCAGATAGTTTATAAGCTGTTCCAGCATTTCCATTCCCCTTGTACGTTGTTTTGAAATGGAGAGTCCAGAAGTTTCGGAGCCTGATCATGTGGGCCGCTTTGAGGCCTCTCTCTCACAGACCTGAAGCTCTTAGCAAGAGGGTCTGCAGAAAACCTGCTCCTGAGGCTCATCGAGACAGGTGCTTCAGGTCCTACCCATGGGCAGGTTCTCAAGCAATATCTCTCAGACTCCAGCGTCTCCCAGAGCCACGTTTCTGTGATGGGCCTTCCGAAAATTAAAGGAAGCACATAGTTTATCAGAAGGTGGCCTTCTGCCACATCTTCTGATGCTGGGCCACGGACTGCACAGAACCAGCCTCCACCCACTCGTTCCTTTGGGAATTTTGGAATTATTTGTAACTAAGTAATATGCTTTTCTTGGATAAGGAGCCTCTAATTGCTTATTTTCCTTGGTGCTCTGAAAATCTGACTAATGTTGACTCAGGTAGATATTATAAACTTATTTATGCTGTGGGTGATAATTACTTTCAAATACGCTTATAGTGAGGCTGAAACTTTAACAAGTTTATACGATTCAATTATCTAACCCCGGGTAATGATTTCTCCCTCTCCTTAAAAAAAAAAAAAAGTTAACTATTGTTCTTAGTTTACTCTTGATGAAGACGATTTCCTGAATTTTCCCTCTCCAGTTCATTACACAGGGTCATCAATGTGAAAAACAGAGGCAGAGGTCATTTATATTTCTTTTCGAAATACAAATCTGTGATGGCTTGACTCTGCTGTGCAATAATTTAAATATAGAATATGCTGAATGGCACCAGGTTTTGCCAGTGAGGTATTAAGGATAACATTCATGATCCCACCAAGCTCAATAACCATTTACCACTTGCTTTAGATACTTTCAGTGAAATTTAAAAATCCAGCAATTCTTAAGAAATCTATAATTTCTAGAGGTAGAAAATGGTCCACACACTGGAGGTGAATTCAGTAATCATTAATGGCCAGAACATCCTCGCTATTATTGAATATACCACACATTACTTTTAGAAAAGATACATACTTTAGTACTAAGCAATTGACTTTTCTCTGGGTAAGAGCAAATTATTTTTCCCCACCCAAGATTTTGGCTTCTATCTCAAAATATTTTAGAACTGAGCTTTACTACCAGTCACAGTTTCCACAGGAAACTACCTCTCTGGTAAAAATAACTTACAACTCACATTTTTCATACAGCACTACCCATCAATATTGATTTTCATTTAACTTTTCCTGCCCCCCCCCACAGAGAATTTGAAATAGTATTTCCTGGGAAAATTACTTGGGGATGTGTGTGAACAATCAAACCAGTGGTATTTTTAAGTTTTGTGCCATCTAAATTCACATGCAGTAGACAGAAACCTTAAGGTATTTAAGATTAATGTTATGCCAGATTCCCTCAGTGTAAAACAAAAAGAAAAATGTAACAAGAGTAAGAAGTATGTGTGGGTGTGGGGGGGGCTGGTTTATAGGGAAACAATTTTGGTGGGGAAGAAAGAGCCCCCACAGCTGCTGGCTGTCTTCTTGG